ATAGTAAGTGTACATATATATATGTTTGTATAGTTTTGCAAGTGTGAAAAAGCCTGACAAAACACTTGGTTACATCAGTCAGTACTGATTAACAAAAGCTCTTAAGAATTTATTTCTCTAAGAATTTTATCTGTTCTTAATTTTACAATTTCAGAAATGACTGTGTAGTAAGAAATGGTAGAATACTCTCAGTGAATAATAGTGTGGGTAGGTTAAGTTTTTTTTTTTTGAGAATTTGCTATTATGAGATTAGGAAGGTCTGAGTGGTTATCATTAAGCAAAATTCCTTTGTAATTTAATATGGTTGAATGTGCTAAGTTTCTCTAAACAGTAAGTAGATTCTTAAGAAGTTATTTGGAAACTGTGCAAAAAATACATTTTATGTTTTTATAACATTTCACAATCAAATTTAACTTCTTGAGGACTTTGACCAATAAGGGTACATTATTGCCGGGAACTGCTGCTGGGCCTTATAATAAATATGGTAGGTAAAATCATTGTAACGTTGGTGTGAGTGGGGAACAAGATACTCTGTTCCTTTTTTCTGTTTGTGTGTCATGTGACTTTTTGTTCAAATATAATTATTTCAAAAAATGTTTGGAGCTCTGCAGGTTGATACTACTTGATAAGCTGCATGATTAGTTGGACGTGTGGGAGGGATTCACATCCATGGGCCTTTCACAGGTGTCAAATGTCGCCCACAGTACACCAGTTTTGGGCTGACAGTAAAAATGCCATCTGTATCCAAAAGTACCAGACAGAAAGTGCATGGATTTCATTGTACAGCTTATATGGTACTTAATATACTTTTCTGTGCTTTCTCACAGCAAGCACCAGGATTATTTATTGTGAGCAGGATTTTTCAAATGCTCTAAGAGTCTTGCTATATCTGACTGCTGACAGAAATGAGTTAGGAAGCTCGCTAAGCTTGTCTCCTGAGCTTCTGGTGGGGTACAGAGGCCTATATTGATATGTAAGTTTCCTAGTAAATAATATTTAAAACTGAAACTCAGAAAGTTAGAAAGTGAGCTTTTTTTCAGACAGCAGTGGTTCCAGTACTCTCACTATCCCGACTGCTCAGAGAGCATGCCACTGTCCCAAGCCACCACTGGAGCAACAGAGCCTCCTCAGGATCCCTCACAAGATTCTGAAAACCTCTTGCTCCATCTTTATTCTATTTCTGTTTTGATGGAAAAAAAGCTTTTTAATTGGTTGAAGGCACATTCTGATCAGACTTTTAAAGCCATTTCATTAACATAATTTTTAGAGACACTATCCTGCAAATATTTCGTCAGTGTTGATGCTACTCCAGAATAGTTAAGCTACATGAACACTTGTGAAAATAAAGATTCAGGATTCATCCATTACTAATTCTGAATGTATGTTGTCCTTTCTTTTATTTTTCAGGTAGAAGGTCTTCAAAAATAGAATCATAAAACAATAGTCTTAATCCTCCTGACATTTCATAAATAGCTTCAGAAATTATTTACCTAAAGTCTTTATAAAAACTACAGTAGCAAAAGGATACAGGGATATAGGGATAATAATCATGCCTACTACTAATGAGCCCCTGTAAGTTTTGTGGTTGAACTGAAATACATACAGCAAAGCTTTATCTCCATCCATATTCATGCTTTGTTGTTGTAAGAAAATAAGGAAAGTAAATTTGAAAAATCTCTCTCTCGCAAAGGTCATGGTCAAAACTACAAACTGTGGAAAAAATTTCAATACAATCAAGTTCTCAGATTAATCCTTGCGTTTTCAACCTTTTTTCTTCCCTAATCCTATCAGCGTTAGATCCTGCAAGTTCAGACACTCAAGTGAAAGGAGACTTACTGAGTTTAGTTCTAAAACTGTACAGACTTCAGAGTCATAGCAAGAATATTCCCCTACCATAAAGTCTAATGAGTGCATTGGTTTAAAGCTCTTGTAAAATGTAGTTTTAGCTGTCTGTTGGGGGCATTTCTGTCCTCTACCTTTTATGGGGCAATTCTTGGCTACCAGGAGCCCCTGGTGGTCTAGTGGTAAAGGCGCGGCGCTATCACCGCCGAGACCCGGGTTCGATTCCCGGTCAGGGCCACTCCCGGGCAGGTGGGGCTCGTTAGCCCTTAAAGGCAACCCACCTACGTCCTAAGGACCTCGCTGCCACTGTCCAAGCTTGCTTGGCCCCGGCAGATGAACCTTAGGATTAAAGGGTGGGCTCAGTTCCGCGCACACTGTGTCTCACCTAAAAAATCCAATGCGCAGGCTGGAAGGTGGAAAGACCTTCCCCGGATCTTCGCTCGCGAAGACTGGCCATTATTTATTATTCTTGGCTACTTAACCAAGGCTCACAAGTGTGCTTTCTCTCCCATAGCTCTTTCTGAGGATTGCCTGGCATGCTGTTTCTTAACCCATCCTGTTTGTGCTCAGAGTTTGCATGGAGAATGTGTACTGTGGCTGTTTCATGTATATACACAAAGTCTAAAATTGGAATCAGTGTCTTTTGTTTTTCAGAGGAGCTTTTGGGTCATATTATTGATAATGAAACACAGGTGCATTTATCTAACCTTACAATTTTTATATTTGTTCTGTGTGGAAATCTAAATTGAATAATTTAAAAGCAAAGATGTAGTCCTCTGAAATCTCATGTGTTTCACAGTAAACATTCCCAGTATGTGAAGAAGAATTGCTGGCAAGAAGAAATATTTGCAGCAGTGGGATCGTACAATGACCAGCCTTTGTCCTGTCGTGCGTAATTGTCATCTTCCTGGTGTACAACACTGCTGCACAGGAGCAAAGTTAAAATGGGGCTGTAGTCACACGAGGTGGTGAAGTCAGTCACAGGTGATGGAGGTTGGCTCAGAAACTCTGTCCCTTTACTTTCGCCTGGTCAGAGTTGATCCCTGAGGAGAGCCAGAATCAGGATATGTGCTACTCCCTTGGGAATATTTGCAGACTGGGATCTTCCTGCCCATCTTTTCTTGGTGCCCTTGCAGAACTGGCCTTTCCCTCAGTCACAGAATAATACAACCAATCGTTTAGGTTGGAATAGACCTGTGAGATCATCAAATCCAACTGTTAACCCAGCACTGCTGTGTTCACCACTAACCCGTGTCCCTTAGTGCCACATGTACACGTACATCGGGTCGTCCTTCTTTAAGCCTATAATTCTGAGGATGCATTCCCACCTTCCCATTTGTTTCGCCATTTCGGCTTTCAGGAAATGGTAGTCACTGCATTCCTTTGGCATGTCTGAAAACTGGAGGGGGAGGAGGCGCAGCTTTGCCCCATCTCCACTTCAATCTCATTTTGAGGAGCTGTGGCCAAGCCCAGTTTCTGCAGTCTGGAAATTACACTGCATGGCACAAAAGAGTGCAGTAATTTATACATCAACAGTCGCTTTTCTTGCCATAACATTTCATTGTTCTAGTTCCCTAAATCTGTAATTACATGTCTTTGTCCTGCTACGTGCTGCTTCATAACAAATATAATTCTTACACAGGCTTTGTGAGTGAAAATAATCTTGCTCAATTAGCACAGATCATAAACTTGAATTGTATGGGAGCAAGCAGAATTTGGGGGGCATTGCATCATCCTTTAATTTAGTAAGTTCTCCCCCACCACTACTGCTGGTGGCTCCTTTCTCCAAGCCAGAGGCTGGAGGTCACTGGCTGACGCCTACAGCTTTGTTCTGTGTCGATCTTAATACTCTTAATTTAAACTTTCCAGGAAGGTTGGCTGTGAATAAGCTAGATTTACTATGTGTGCTGTTTAAATACTAGCACTTGGAGAAGGGTGTTCATTAGGCAGCAGTTGTTTCAGTCGGTTTTTCAGGCCGATTTTCCATTAAGGAAGATCTTTGGAAAAGGCTGGCAGGCAAGAGAAAGAGGAAAGAAAGTCAGTCTTTTAGGTCTGTGCATTCGAGTACATTGTGTTGTTGGCTGTCGTTCTAAAACATGCACTTCTTGGCCTTAATTGGAACAAATATATCTTAATGGAGAGAGAAACAAACTTGCTGTGGCTTTTGTCTTTGTGAGAACAAGGCTACTCATTTTGTGGATTAATCAATACTATAAGTAATTATTTATATTTTTCTTTAATGAAGTGCTGATGTTTACCTGTTAATTATTATGATTAGAAAGATGCAATATTATGCCTAGGTGCAAACATTAAAGCTTACTGTCTCCTTGTGTAGTGAGTGTTCCCATACTAAGGCAGAAGCACACCTGTGTTTCACCTCTAGCACAAAAAAACAACAACAACAAAATAAAAAACAAACACCACCACCAACAAAATCAAAAAAACCCTAAAATAATGACAGTAATGTTGGAGTTTATGAAGACAAATCCTTGTAGTGTAGTGGTCACACTGTCGTGGATATAAGTGTTTTATCAGAAGCACGTGTGGTCTTTGGGTCAGGTAGATCTCTGTCCATTCTGGGTCTGTAAGCATGGTGCTGCTGAGTGACTGATGTTCCTTTGTGTTATACTAGTAATATCAATCAGCATCCTAACATGTTGTTAACTCTTAAAATCTAAGTTGTTTCCTGTCCCACTTGGTTGTTCAAGGGTTTGAAAAATTATTCTTGTCATTCTTCTATGTCCAAAATTAGCAAAATATGTGCAGGAATAGTAGAAATGTTACTAAAGCAGAAAACCAGAATTGTAGCCCACCAGATACTGCATTAGCTGCTCTACATGCCAAATGTGGAAGAAATAGCAGTACTTGCCAGAGAGAGATGTAAAACCTGCTACAATCCCCAAAACTGGGATAAGAGCTTTAGGATTCAATCCATCTCTAATTTACAAGATCTAAATAAACATCTTGTTGATATTGAGTTAGGCTCAAACTATTAAGATTTGGTTTGCTCAGTGTGTCATTTTTGTTTTGGAAACTGTGTTTGTTCCTTTCTGTTCACTGCAGTTGCTACTTTTCTGCATGAGATTTTATCAAGTGTCTCACATTTTCCCTCTTCTTCTCTCCCTCCCTACCCCCCCTTTTTTTTTTCCCTATTTTAGATTCCTTCCTGGACAAGGATTGGTACTATATCCACAGATAGGAGACAAACTGGATATTATATGCCCAAAAGTGGACTCTAAAACTGTTGGTCAATATGAATATTATAAGGTCTACATGGTTGATAAAGACCAAGCAGATAACTGTGCTATTAAAAAGGACAATACACCTCTACTCAACTGTGCCAAACCAGATCAAGATGTTAAGTTTACCATCAAATTTCAAGAGTTCAGTCCTAATCTCTGGGGCCTGGAATTTCAGAAGAACAAAGATTATTACGTCATATGTAAGTTCCACGTTTTAGTTGTTCGTTCTTTTTAGCATAGTTGTTCATTCTGTAGTACACTGTCTTGTACATTGTAAGCAACCTAAGAGGAAAACGAATGTATTTGTATTTTTTATCTGAAAATAATTTCTTGCCAGCATGTTTTCAGCATTATTTCTGATTTCCAAAGGGTCTCTGTCTCTTTTTCTCTTTGCTTTGTATAAATCAAATTAGATTGTACTTCTGTGCCTGTAAAGGGCTTCTTTCTTCTGTGCACAATATTGTGTCATGTGTTCTCATTGAAAGGTGTGTGCAGCTAAACTGCGATGCATTTCCTGCCCTGGTGATGTACCATCCTGTTCACCTTGTCCTTGGGGCTTCTTATACCAGGAGTAGGGGTACGGTGACCTGGCTATTCTAAGATGGGGCATACTACGTGACATGGCTAGCCATTGCTCCATGTGGTCCAGGCAGTCTCACAGGAAACATCTTCTGGCAATTTTGATGCCAGTTTTGGCACTGTGGTTTCCTCACAAGGGTTACTGTTGAGGGACTGTAGTTGAACATGCCTTCCCTCACAACGTACCTACTGTGTCCGTACAGGAGCCAGGAGGGTTCTTGGGCAAAACCTAGACTTGCATGATTTTGGAATTTCATCCTTTTTCATGGTCCTGGCTTGCAAAATGAAAGTGCATGGCATAGGCCTCTGTCCAACAAAATAAACTTTGTGTGAGTTTTAGTCTGATGAGGAATTTATGGCTGAGAGCAAGTCTGGAGGTAGCCACAGTGTTTGGTGATTCAAATTACTTATGATGTGTAAAGTCAATGATGTAAATCGGGAGTTAGCATTAGCTGAGACCTCAGCACTGCAACAACAATTTACATTAGTTTAGGTTTTGTCGTTGTAATACTATGCCCTGCAGATCTCACTTAGCTCCATGGGCACTTTTGAAGTCTTGAGCAAGTATCACCAATTATTACGAGATGGAACAAATTCTGTGTTTTGGCTTTTCTGCAGTTACAAGGAAGTTACATACTGGTATGTCTGATTTAACAGAATCATAGAATAGTTTGGGTTGGAAAGGGACCTTTAAAGGCCATCTAGTCCAAGCCCCATTCAATATGCCGGGAACTCTTCAACTAAGTCACATTGCTCAGAACTCTGTTAGCAGGGATGGCACATCTAGCATCCCCCTGGAGAACCTGTTACAGTGTTTCACCACTTTCTTTTTCACTGTAAAAAATTTCTTCAATATATCTAGTCTAAATCTACCTTCTTTTAGTTTAAAACCCTTAACGCTTGTCCTGTCACAACAGGCCCTGGTAAAAAGTTTGTCCCCAAACAGATTTCTACCACCTCCTTGAAAATTGAAGGGTTAATAACTATTTCATGTGATCTCTGCCAGTGTAAATATTTCTTAATTTAAATTTTAAAAGTATTCTCAGCAAGTATTTTTAAAATGGAAATGGAAATGCATTCAATATAAATTAATGCTCGCTTCCCAGTTATATCCATTATGGTACACACAGTGTATAAAAAAGGTTGTATGTCACAGAAACTAAGTAAGAATTCGCTTATTAAATATCAGTTGTAGAAATTACTAAATAACAGTAGTGGGAAATACAAACCACCATTTTTTTGTTTTAAATATCACTTAATATAGGCACTTTCTCTTTTAGTTGGGGGGTATATAAAAACTTGATACCGCTTAAACAGTATTTGACTTTAAAAAAACCCCAAACACTTAAACAGTATTTAACTCTGACAAACTTCCCACTGAAATCCACTGAGGTATTTACCAGGGTAAAAGCGACAAGACTAGCTGTTAAGAGATAGTTATCTGTAACTCCACTGAAAATGTATAGCATAAAAATGACCATGCTCAAATATTTGGTCTAAATGCAGAAATATGCCCAGAATTTAGTGCTGCTTTTAAAATCATCCACAGAAGACCAACTGCAGTGGAACAAATGGCAGTGTTACAATTATTAACTGAGAATTATGGGCACAAATGGAGCTTTCTGATACCCTGTCAGTTCTGTCATATCTATGTCATGGATTTACCCAGAGAATTATTAAGTACATCTCATTTTCATTAGTTTTGTATAATTATTTCATTATAGCAATAAGACATAATAGATGCTGCATTTCCTGTAAGATTACAGTATAACTTGGTTGAAAGAACTTACTCAGCTTTCAGCCTTAGAAATCACACTAGCCTAGCAGTAATACTGGCGTGCCTTAGGGTATTACTTTTCCCGCTCATCGTGGCATAAACAAATGGCTAATTTATCACTCTATTGCTAGCGAGGGTACCTATACATTTTAATAGACTGGACAAAAAAAGCACCCCAGCCCTGAAAACCCAGCCATCCTGAAGCTAAAACTCTCACTTTTCTGTCATTCAAGGCGAAAACAATAAACTCAGTGATGTTGGTCTCAGAAACACTGAGAGGGGTAGGAAACTAGGCCAGTGCTCAGCTAGGACACCATTTTACGGAGATACTGAAGCTAGATAGCATTTTAACAGTTTGCATTCAAAAGCTCTTGACGCAGCCTTGTCAATGCACGTTCTGGTAGTCAGAATATTTGCCGTCATTTCTTGTAATACATCGTAATCGCATACGGAAATCAGGCTGTAAATTGTTTACATAAATCACTCTTCACAGACCTGTAATTCTTTCTTTTTCTGTCCTTCCCTCCTTCCCTCCTTCTTTCCTCCTTCCCTCTCTCTCTCCCTCCCTCCTGTTTGGTAGCTTTGAGTTTTGTCTTGCTTGTTTTGTTGGGATTTTTTGGGGGGGATTGAAGTGCTATGAAATGAAGGCAATGATGCATTTTATGTGCCAGCTTTTGATTTTGAAGTATTTTAGGATCTTGCATTCCCTCAACTAAGGGGCATCAAACAAACCTGACACGAGCTTACTGAGCTCAGCATCTTTGCAGCGCTTGCTGTGGCTGCCCCTGCAGCCTAATCTCACGCTATTTATGCTTGGCAGGCTGTTGTCAGCCCTTTAAACTGCATCGTTTTGTGCATTGTCAGGTACCTTTATCATCTCACCATTATTTGAAAACACAGTTTGTTTTTCTAAGCTAATAGTATGTGGTTTGTGGAGCTGTATTAAACAGTAAAATCTCTATTCAGATTAGGGGGCTTAGTCATTCTGGGATGAGGAATTACAACACAGGATGAAGCAGCTTCCTGAGCCCTGTGTACCTTCAGGGACATGTGATTGCACAGGAATTCTTCAAGCCATAATTTTTATATCATCCAGATGTATTCATGATAGGTATACCAGAAGGAGATCTTTTCTATTCAGTGCTTCCCAAAGCCTGAGCATACAAAAGATGCAAATCTCATTTCAAAATTCACAATATTTTAAAAAGTAAAAGTGTAGATGAGTTTCTGATACTTGTTTTCACATTTAGTGGTACTTTAATAATAATTAAAAAAAAAAGAAATCCATTTCCTGGCAGGATATTTCTCAGTATGAGTATCAGTATCCAAAGAGTTAATTCTGTGAACAGCAGTAATTGGAAAGATGATACCGAATGGTATTGTGAAAGTGAATAAATGATGTAACAGAATGTCCTTGCCTTTCTCTTCTTTGCCATCATCAATTTTTTGTTCCTGGGAAATGAATAGATTCATTTTCCTACAGTTACCTGATTTCTTTTCAACAGAACTGGAGAAGGTCAAATGTACTTGAGATCTCATAAGTATTAATGTTTGATTATCCAAAAAATATGTGACCATTTAGCTAACATTTCATAGGTCTCTAAGGAAATGCTTAATCAGATGCATGAAGGGAGATACATCGTGCCCAACAACATAAATATCTGTGTGAAGGGCAAACTTAAGGGTTTGAAGATTTACAACTCCAATGTTTGCATTAAAAGTCTTTTTGTGTCTTTGCATGGTTAGGGAATGAAGTGTAATTTTCTGCAGTTGTGAATTGCTCAGAACGAGCAGTGAGTATCTTCTGAGTACTGAGGGATTGATCAGCAAGTACTTGGGTCGTGGTGCCACTGCTTCAGTATTTCTCTTGGATACAGTGTTCCTTATTTGGAAGGGAGACGTGTTAGCATAGTACGAACACATATAATATGCCAAAGATGTTTACTTTTGGTGAACAGGAATTGTCCTGAACCCTTCACTTAAAGGCAGAGGGCATAGAGTACCCTGCAATACCTTGGGTTTGTGCTGAGGGAGCCCCGGGGGAAGCCTGTGGGAAGCTGTGCCAGAGGGAAGGGAGTGGTGCTGCCTGCCGTCAAGCCACTGTCAAGCTTCTTAGATAGCTAGGCCAAGCAAGCACTTACCTCACTCCCTTCGTCTCTTCTTTAGCATAAGTAAAGTGAAGTTTATGGGCTGACATCATCAACATTAAGAAATAAGTCACCTGCAATGAGATCTTTACCTGTTCCAAATTTGTAATAGAATGGTTTGGAACTTGGGAAGGGGCTACAGAATGGTTCTCTGAAAGATTCCTGTATAAGGCTTGCTCTGCCTGGACCTCATTAGCCAAGGTTGCTGAGCCGATGATGCTCATTGGCTTTGACATTGGCAAAATGGAATATGATGGTTTTTTATCAACTTTTTACAAGTGACCCACTTCCATAATTGGCTTCTGGCTTAAATTAAAAAAATACATATATATATGTAAGTGTATATATATTTACATATATATATATATATTTGATGCCTGTTTGATCCCTGACTGATTTAAAGGTTTATACTGGCTAGTAGCACTACATTTTGGATAACTGCTTTAATAGTGCTGTGGCTTTTAAAATCAAAACAGTCATTCTGAAACTTTAGCATTAGCTGTGTTTGAAAAAATCACAAATCTTCTTCTGTTTTCACTTTGTCATTCTGTTACAATTAAAGGGCAATCACTGTCTGAGGAAGAAGATATTAAGGGACAATATGGATTGTGCCTTGAAGTATGGCCCAGCTGGAAAGAGTAAATCTCTTTGCATGGCCAAATAGATTTACATTAAATTGTTATTTTAGTATGCTGAC